AAGACGACTCACTGACCCATGCCGCAAAGGAGAAAGACGAGCTGTTAGGCTCTCTTTTTGCGTCCAACTCGACTCTCGATGACGAGGGGAACACACCACCGACCATTCCGCGGTGTTAGTGCTCCATGCCGGATTTGTGGTGTAAACCACAACTATAAAACCAGTACTGCTACTCCTAACACGTAGCCCCGAATTCATAGAAGACAGCTTTCATCTACTCGATCCCTAAAATGGCGACCGCTCAGACCCGTCCAACTACAGGCCTATCGCCATCACCTCCTTGTTCTCCAAAATCCATTTACAGGAGTCCATTATAAACTGCCAGCTCATGAGGTACCTTGAGGATCACCAGCTGATTAGTGACCGAGAATACGGTTTTCATCGGGGTCGATCAGCTGCTGATCTTCTGGTCTACCTGACTCATAGATGGGCCGAGGCAGTAGAGTCCAAGGGGAGGCGTTGATCGTTAGTTTGAATATATCGAAGGCCTTCGATCGGGTTTGGCACAAAGCGCTTCTTTCGAAGCTCCCTTCCTATGGCTTCCCAAGAAATTGTGTAATTGGATCGCCAGTTGCCTTGCTGATCGGAGCAATCAAGTGGTAGTAGTAAGTAGTAGACGGTGCATGCTCTGACTACAACCCTATTAACGCTGGTTTTCGACAAGGCTGCGTGCTATCATCAACGCCGTTTCTTCTGCATATCAATGATATGTTGCAAACTGGTAACATTCATTGCTATGCAGACAACAGTACTGGTGGTGCCTTATACACCGGCCGTGCCAATATTTCTCGGGAAATCGTTGTCGAGTACCGGGACAAAATTGTGTCTGAAATCGAGTTTTTTTGCTGAACAAAGTCTCGAATCGGGGGCGAATAAATCTAGTCCAGTTCAATCCCCAGAAGACACAAGTTTGCGCATTTACCGCTAAAAAGAACCTCTTTGTCATATTTCCTCAGTTTCAAGGCACTAACCATGCTGATTCAGCTAGCATCGGAATCCTAGGCGTCGACATATCGAATAGTGTGCCGTTTCGTGGTCACTTCGAAAGTTAGGCCTAATTGACAAAAAGCTTGGCGTGTTCAGCAGAGCGGGCCAGTATTTCATGCCGGCACATCGCTTCCAACTTTACAAAGCGTAAGTTCGGCCTCACATGGAATACTGTTTTCATCTCTGGGCCGGAGCACCCCAGTGTCAGCTCCTTCCACTTGACCGCATTCAGCGCAGAGCGGCCCGCATCGTTGACGACCGAGTTCTTTCTGATCGGCTAGATTCACTGGCGCTGCGTAGGGATGTTTCATCCCTAAGCATTTTCTATCGCATCTACCACGGGGTGTGCTCTGAGGAGTAATTGTTCGGATTAATTTCAGCTACCAAATTTCACGAACGCACATCGCCTCAAAATTCACGATACCATCCTCACCATCTGGATGCTTGGCGGTCCACCACTATGCGTTTTACTAGGAGTTTTGTTTCACGCACAATTTCTCTGTGAAATTGTTTACCACTGGCGATTTTTCCGGACCGATACGACTTAGAGACCTTCAAGAAAAGAGCTTACTCTTTTCTAAAAGGCCGGCAACGCACCTGCAATTCCCCTGGTGTTGCGGTTGCTCTTGGGCGGCGGTAGTCACTTACCATCTGGTGAGCCGTATACTCGTTTGCCTCCTCTTCTATAAAAAAGGGACTAACCAGTTAGAAGTTCTTGTCTCTTTGTCAAAAGAAAAGAGGTTTTCTTCCCATTATAATTTAATTAAAATTATTAGATATGAAATTAATCGTATAGCTTCAGCGAGGGGAATCGAGGTGATTTGATGCTATTTGATGTTGAACTTTAAAGATGGTTGACCGGATGGTCAAATGACGAATGGGAGGTACCTACATGGTTTTGGAAATATTTACTGTGAGACGGTAGGAGGAAAGCCGTGTAATGCTATTTTCGCATTTGATTTTACGTACGTCGGACGGAACGTGGGGCGTTAGTCCCAACAAGCAATTGAGTCAAAGATAAACAAAACAGTGTGAGTCAACGGCATATGTGAACATTTTGAAATTAGGTATGGATAACAAATTTTTATAAATAAGGAAGAGAGAATAACGAAGTCCGAAGCAATAACGAGGCCCTGAGGGACACGGTAAGTCACCAGTTCAATCAGAAGTCCGTAAATTTTGACTAGCTGTCTGCGATTTGAAAGACAGTCGCAATGTAGTAATCAACGTTTCGAACACTGCATCCTTCGAGTTTTTTTGAGTAAGGGGGAGAAATGGGGCTTGTCAAATATCTTTAATTAAGTCCAGGAGACACATCAACTTTTAAGACAACTATACGGGGAAATTTGCAATCCAAGATTTGCGATACCAAAAAACGACGCGTTAATTTTGTGAAATAAATTATCAATTTATTCGTTTTGTTTTCGTAAATTACTAATAGTTTTGAGTTACTTACCGATGGTAGGAGATGTTATTAGTTGTTTGTAAACGTCTTAAAGGTTTTTATCGCTCAACTTGTCATTTTCACCAAAATAATCAAACGCAAAAATTGAGCCGTGCGCGCATATCTGTTGGCGTTACAAGTGACACTAAGGAGCGGGAAGCGCTTTAGAGGCTAGCAGTTAGCTGATTTTTTTATCGAAGCTTTTGAGTCGCCGTTACTCTAACTAGAGAGTAAAAATAATCTAATCTCTTGCTATGACTTTAATTAGACTACTAATTAACAGCTACATTTAACATAAATATATGTCGTGTGGGCTACTCTACAGTACATTAAGATCTTTGACTATTGCTCCAGTAGCGGGTTTAAAAAAATAGGTATTTACCGGAAAAAACTTTCGGTCCTGCAGATCGGTATCTAAAGCGTGTGACAAGTATCAATTTTCGTAAGCTAAGGCGTAGGGTTAGAGCTAGGAGGACGTACAGACGTTAACAGTTGAATTTTAAATAAAATTTTTTAAATAAATAATTTTAGATAAACTTGCTATAAAGTACTTGTTCTTCATAGCTTCCATAAATATTTTTAATGAGCCTAACTTTTTAATTTTTGCACACATAGAACGCTAAGCGGAGATGTAGTGCTCTATTGTTACCAAATCGAAATATCGCGATCCACTCAACTTATCACTCCGCCAGCTTTTTTGTTTTCTTTATACAATAGACCTTGTTAATACATGGAAGAATATTTCAACGTTTTCTTCAAATGTCATTGTCATCTCCCCTTGCCCTTCAGTCATCAACTGCTGACGCTGGTTAGACAATCTAGATTATATAGTAACCATCAGATAGCGGAAAATCCATCCAAATACACCGCATTTAAATATTACAGGCTGGTGATTACGTACAAATCTTTCAAATAATCTGTGCCTACGTGGAGTTTTATACGTTTGATTGCGTTAGCACGTACACAAAATTTTAGTTTTGTTCTTAGGTCTTAAGATGGAATGACAACGTTTACAATTTTCTTATTAGAATTGATTGTTGTAGTTGTAGTGGGAAATCATATTTTTTGTTGTCTCCTCACACGTAAGATCTCAACCTTTCTTTCTAATCTCAGCTGTCTAAGACTACTGAAAGTAGCCATAAAAGGTTTTGATGTGTGATGTACCTAACAACTATTAGTGAGTAAGCGATGAAATCAACTATGTATTAAATTTAAAGTTGTAATGTTATAAAAATTGATGCATTTAACCAATATTTTTTACCCAGTGAATATTAATAAAATTTTTGAGTTATTAATTAGTATTCAGACCAAAATACACCGTTCTCTCAAATATAAACGTTAAATAGCGGTTGAGCCTTACTTGTAGTGATGTGTAGAGACACGGGCTTGTGTGCATAATTGCAGATACCGTTAGTTAGTTATTAAATTACCTAAGTACGTTCAACTACGTAGTGAAAGAAAAATATTTTTCATTTACAACAAAAGTAAACTACATTAATCACTTGGGTCTCGTTAATTTTGCATGTATACCTCTCTTAAATAAGCACTAGTTTACAATAAAACTCACACTGCTGTTTACCAAACGTCCCATTAATTATTTTCTTACATCACTGCGAACAACTCTTCCCTGCTTACTTTCCGTTCCGACAGTAATCCATAGTAATGTTTGATACTCGGGCTTACACACACCATTTTTTTTTATACTAGGTATTATAATCCAGTAGTCGAATATCATCCCACCTGATGGTAAGTGGCGATGCAGCCGAATATGGTTTGCATTATTCACTCATGCCTTGGTGACACCCACATTATAATCGGATGGCAAGACAGATTGTTTCACTCGTTTGCTGTAAGAGGTTTTGGCGGGAACTTGACCGGCGACAGTTTGCTGCTTCTGTATTATTGTTTAAATAATGGTTTGAAGTGGACTTTGATATGTAAAAGTGGTGCGATTTTGTGTATTAAGTATCTGCGCATGTGAACTATTAGTGGAAACCGTGAAATAAGTGCTCTGATGGCGACATGATTTTCAAGATAAGGTGTTTGTCTCCTTAGGTGCCTTGAGATACCATCGCAAACTGTCTGCTGGCTCAAGTTTTCGTCAAAATCTCCCAAGGGCTGCACAATGTGACGCATCAACATATTGTGAGGCAGTATATTATGAAGGATAATTATACATTTTAACTTCAGGCTCAGAAAGGCTAGAACCCAGAGCCGTAAGCTAGTTATATAAAAAATAAAATCGTTTGCTGTAAGCATTACGAACGACGAAGCAAACCGTTTGGTTCGGATGCGTGGTAAGTCGACAATAAAGACAATGTCGTGACACCAGACGCTTGACTGGTTACTGGTGGTCCGATGATGGAATGGAGAGGGAGGAATTAATTTACTATAACTGCATGTATATCTAGACTCACAAGTTAGATCAACCCGCCGTCGTGAAATAAAAATATACTGCGTTCGTAAATCCAAGCGTGACTATACATTGGAATTTTACTAGTAGCTGATAAAAAAAGAAAGATTAAATGTAAAAGGTGTCGTTTGAAATGAAACATCGCAATAATATTTTGAAAATGTTTTTTTTATTAACACTTACATTTTTACAGCGCTCCTAGCCAACAGAGTAATACTATAAAATGAATTGGTGTAAAGAACTGTTGAACGCAAAACAATGTTAGTCCTACAGTGTACGTCAAACAAACAGCTTACAAATATCCCATCGTCACAATAATATCATGATCAACGACTATTGTCAATGAGATGGACAACGTTACATCATCAAACAAGCACAGGAGGTCACCCTAAAGAAACAAACATCATTTAAATCTATAAACATTTCATATAATTTAGATTTATTAGTCGCTATAATGTTAAACTTTATTTTGTAACCATTATTATAATGTTATATGTATTCGTTACGAAAACTTGAAATCGACTGTCCCGCCGGGCCCCTCCAGCGGGCTGCGGCCCCGCGCGTCCTCGACGCTCGCGTTCCTGGAAGGGCCCAGGCGCGAGCAAAACAAGATGACTCTATTATAATTCATAACTGTATAATTTTAAAAATTTCTAATTACGCATCCCTACGTTTTATTTATTATCATTTAATTAAGAAATAAAATCTTACGTAGTTACCATGAGCAGCCTATTTTATAAGTTTGACAAAATCTAGTAATGTGATTATTTTTAGAAAAGGAAAAGCGTCGCGCGATGACGCGAGTAGAGCGACGACAGTCGACGGCAGTGCTTGTGAAGTTCGAGCGGGGCCCGAAGCGCTCGCGACGGTGTAATGCTTTATTTTTATCTACGTTTACAATTCAAAATACGGCATCAAAATTTCAACTACCTACCTAACAGTAAGCGGTAGTACACTAAGACTCAGGCACTCCACATCGACCTCTCATACGTCATGCACCCGACCGAATCGTCAACTAAACATTATCCACTCGAAAAATTCAACTTAATCTAATTTCCACTTAAATAATAATAATGGCTTCTTAACTGTAATTTTACAACAAATGCTTTTCGTTGGCCGCCGAGCTCAGGGCGCGGCGGGCGTCGAACTCCTGCCCACTCGTATGGCGAACGATGATCTACTGGCTAAACGATATTTTATTACTTATCATATAAGTATGTGAAAAACAATTTCATTAGTTAATTTAATTCTATCTTATAAGTTTATATTGAGGGCGAAGTGAATGGTTTCGAGTCGGCCGCTCGCCGCGCCGCGCCGACCGTCAAGGGCGATAACGCGAGATTCATTACACAATTGAAATATTAAAAACGATCTCAATACAAAAATAACATGATCCACAATATGAAATTATACGTGTTTATTTGTTTTATGTCATCACAAATATCAAACTCTCCACTGTGCATATATACATATAGTTCGTAAAACAATAAGTGTTGTACATGTCACGCGTCACGCGTCACGCGGAGTGACGGCGGCCCGTTGCATGCGGTAACAAGCGGTGAGAAGCGCACGCGACAGCGATTACACATGTAGTGGCACCGCAACCTCCGGCACTCTGTTGTAAGAACACAAATGAACGCATGTACGCAGTGATAACGGTGTGGACAGTGGTCGGTGCGGCTTAGTAGTAAGTCTCTTGTTCGAGCCAGCCTCCCGGGTTGCGGCGCAGGTAGAAGCGTCGGATCTCGTCGTAGATGAAGATCGACAGCATGAAAGGAATTGCGGGCAACCACCAGACGAACCTGTGAACATCCAAGTTGTTCAGTTTTTTTTTTATAGGATAGGGTAATAAACGAGCATACAGTCCATCTGATAGTAGTAGTTGCTGTGGCCCATAGACATCTACATCTATCCTCGTTTGCAAATCAAAATGCAGATGCGTTGTCACCCGTGAGGACTAAGATGGAATGCTCCTTTTCCAGTAAAAACGGTCTCCGGTTCTCTACACTCACCATTGGAAACACAGCAGAGTTATGCTGCTATTTTACGCTGGTATTCTGTGAGAGCATGGTCCTTCCCCGGTCGAGCCGACCCATTCGTGCTACAACTATAGTACTAATATAGCTGTAGCATGGCTCTGCCAGGTATAAGTTAAACAGTACTTCAGAGTGGGTATAATGACCATCGGTCAGGTTTCTAAAAAATATTTAAATTATTTTAAAAATTAAATTCCATCCGTCAATCCGTTACATCCTAAGAAGTCAATTGCTGAACATAGGCCTCAAAGAACCCGCCACTAAAGATCTCTATCATCTGAGATCATCTGATCATTTCCTCTTTCAGTTTCTCTCAGTCGCTTTTTATGACACCCACGTTACGGTATGCGGTTGTACATATTCTTACATGGCCTCTTCACGGTTTAATGTTCTCGAGATATTTTTTTTTAATATACTCACTTGAGGGGATACATCCGCAGACCCTTGTCCATGCCAGGAGTGTAAGACAGGAAAGCAGCAAGCGCAGTTTCAAAGATGAGACCAAAGTTGAGAGCCCAGTTACGCATTCCCTGGTGTACGATGGAGTTGCGGCGCGTCTTGCAGATTATCAAGTCAGCCCATTGTACCACGACGATGGACACGAAGAAAGCAGTGTGGCAGGTGTATTCAAGGGCTTTGCGGTCACGGTATGTCTGGGAAAGCAATGAAGTTTCATTACAGTTATCGGAAAGATTACATCTTAGAAAAAATCGATATATTGGCTTCTATTTCTGGATGCATTGTGGTTTGCTTTAATATACTTAATTTCAATAATTAGTACTATTGTGGTAAAATATTTAAGAAAGTTAACGTAATACATGTTGTGTATAACAGAATCATGCAATTGGTGAATTCAAAGTCATGTACTTTTTTAATGTTTAAGACAAACAAATCCATAAAGCTCACGCTAGGGCACACTAGTTTGACAATAAGGACTTCAAAAATAGTAACGTTTATAATGATTCGTTTTTATCAGCCCGTAAAAACTCACAGCTGGACATGGGCCTCTTTCGTTTTGGGGAGGATTTGACACTACTGATATTAAAGAAAATTTTAAAAGTATAAACATTTTATATAAAAGCAAGTGTCTGTTGCATTATTTATGAGTGCGATGCACCTTCTCAGATCTACTGTAAATCTTAAAGTATTATCACAGTTTAAATATCTTACTATAAACTGTAGTATCGCTACAGTCTAGCAAAACAGAGGGAAACTAATATGTATCTGAGCTCAATTGACGGTAAAGAAATGTAGTTATCTATCTATACATATAATAAAACTGTAAATAGCAGATGTCTGTACATTTTATATTTTTGTAATAAAAGTGATTGAGGGATACTAAAAAAAGTAATTAAATACATTTCTACCATTTTTAGAATTTTCTGTCTGTCTGTCTGTCTGTCTGTCTGTTTGTTTGTTTGTTAACGTATCACGTATAAAGTACTAATTTATATCATAAGAATTGTTAAGGAAATTATAAAGTGTATCTTCGGGTTACATTTAGTCTTTATTTCATTAAAATCAGTTCATTCCATCAAAAGTTATGATAAATATTCTGAAGTATGGGTAGGGAAGTATAGGTACGAATTTGCTCAACGGTGGCTTTGTTTGAGTCATCAAGTGCATTTTAAACTAATATCATATCATAAATCATAGTTAAATTATGTAAAATAATGATATAATTATGTATATCTAAAGCGCAGTAAACAAAAGTAATAAAGAACGTATTAAATATATTATACAAAAATATATTAACCTTATTAACTAAATCTGAAGCACAATAGTTAACCCATTTCTTCGATAGATGGTGGTGTTGTGAAAATGCAATTGCAAATGTGGTTTTTTCCTGTAGATGAGTTTTCATATTTACTGCTAATCTTTATTATATTACTCGCTGCCCTACTGCGTGTTGACAAACTCAATTTATTCTTTACCGCCGAGTACTCTATGTGGTAAATCAAATTTTAAAAGAGCTATTAACAATTGCATTGGTTTTGGCGAGAGTCAAACTTTATTTTTTGCTTACTGTGCAGGCACTGATTTATAAGTTCTCTTACGTTTTATATAATTTATCAATCGCGTCAATTAATCTCTTTTATTTTTAGAATTGATGATGTTAGCAGCGCCCTCTCTATTTAAATATATACATATAATAAAAATGATGATAACATGTTGTGTCTGTTTCTGTACATTGTAGGTATATATTATATTTTGGTGGCTAAAATCATTATGGGGAACTGAAAATAATTAAATAAGAACATTTTATAATTTTTAGAATTGTCTGTATGTCTATTTGTCTGTTATTATATGAACGCATCACGTCTAACGTAAACATCTTTTATTTTCAAAGCAATCGTTAAGAATATCATAAAGCGTATCTTCGAGTGACATTTAATCTTTGTTTTATTAAAATTGGTTCATTCTATCGAAAGTAATGATTATTATTTTGAAATGTAGGTTCGAATTTGTTCAATGGCGCCATAAAATCTCAGAAATAGTAATAAAAAGATTTCTGTGTAAAAAAAACGTTCCATAATAATTAATATATTTATACTTAAAACACAAAAAGAGATAGGATGTTTTCTCACACAAAGGACGTAATTATGGAGTTGTACAAATTACAAACTTTTCTGAATTGCTGTGTTGAGATTTTTCGCCGATGAATCGTATTGAGACTGACTGAAGAAATTTGTATCCATCGAAGCCATACAACGGAACCCGACCAAAAATAAAAATTTTGCAACGAAATGTCGTGATATTGTATTTATAATATACGCAAAATCAGAACTGCCATTTTAGCGCTTTGGGAACTAGATTTAGCACTTTTTTGGAATGTATAGCGCGCATTTCGAAATTTTAGCACCTAGCGCTTAATCCAGCGCTTTTTGGTGTATTTAGCACACATTTCAATATTTTAGTGACTAGCGGGTTATTAACTCTTTTATTGCAGCACTGTTAGTCCACATTACCGATAATAATAATAATGACCTTTATTATTTTTTCCCACAAATAGTAGATTGCAGTTTATCTTTTTCAAACATATTTTTTCCACAAAACAAAGAGCATGGGAGACGAGTCCAAACTAGGATACCCTGTGCTATGGATCTCCTGGCTTCCTCTTTAGAATGATCAACTTGATTTTTTTACCGACGACTATAAGCGGGGAAATCCCCTTTATTAAAGTTTTCGTTCATGGTTTTGGCAACGCATTTATTTTGCTTTATTCAGTTTTAGTCAGTTGCTTAGAGCACATCTAAGTTAAAAGTTACTTAGAAGTTATAACACAAAGAAACTGTGTAGCAACCGCAATCAGATGCTGACATCTGAAACTAAGTTGCGAAATACATTGCACTTTAAAACAATTAATGACATTTTTATTGTTCGTACAGTACTAACTACTCTTGACAGCAATTGCTATAATTATAAGTCGATGTCCTGCGAAGTATTGATACATCAAAAAAATATTGCCAGAAAAAAAACTTAATGTTGTTTTCTTTATTATGATTATATAAAAAAAACACAAACTTTGTTTGTAGTTCATTTAGCGCGAAATCTAGCGCTTTTTGTGTTGTCCTAGAGCTGAATGAGTTTTTTTTATCTGGCAGCACTGCCCAAAAACCCTCTATTAAGAAGTAACTTTCCTTTCAGTTTTAAGCGCGTTCAGTACCCAGTTACAGTGAGTGTGTGTTATGCGATGACCGTAAATAAAGCGCAAGGTCAAACTTTACGCGTTGTAGGAGTGTACCTCAGTACTGACTGTTTTGCACATAACCAACTCTATGTTGCTTTTTCCCGCGTTAGTAGCCCCCGTAACCTTTTTGTGTATACCCCGGCTAAGCCTACTTCTAACGTCGTTTACACAGAAGCTCTATCATAAACGACTTAGAACTTTGATGATAATGATTTATTTTGTTACCACTTATTGATACAGTAATGAAATAAATCGTTTAATATTCTCTTACCTAAACGACAAATTCTTTATGTAAAACCTGTATACGCGAGCTACGCCGCGGGCACAGCTAGTTTTTATAATATAATTCTTCTGTCTGTGTGTATGTGACTGAACTCCTCCTAAATGGCTGGGCCGATTTTGACGAAATTTTGTGTATGTGATTCGATGTGATTGTGATAGTGTAAGTTGATTCAAGAATGGTTTAGATTCAAAATTGGTCCGGTACGGCGCTTTTGTCGAAATCCAGAAAAAAATTTGACAATAGACCTTAAAGTCACGTATCGATTACGCGCTCCTGGCGCGCGAGCCGTGAATGATCGCTCGGACCAGTGCGCTCCGCCGAACGCGCTCCAAATGTTCCAAGTGTATCAACTAAGCGCTCCTGGCGCGCGCGGCAGCCGCTCCAGTGTTTGACCGTTCAACATGGATGTCGGTCATGTACATACAGCTGCCGCTTTCATAGTTCCATGCATCTTCTCTGAGCGCTTTATTATGATAAAAACCACTTTTGCTATTCCACAGTAGATCTTTCAAACTACACATAATTGTATTAATTTACGGCAACTTTGGTTATCCACAGCTCGGAACGCAACGAACGCACAAATAACGACACAAACGTCCCAACTGGCGCGCGCGTCAAAATTTAAACTACTGTGATGCGCGGTAAAAAACCGACAACAGATGGAGCGGCCCGCTCCACGTTCGAGCGCTCCAACGAACAATTTGGCGCGTCCCAAGGCGGTATCCATATCGCGCGGCTCGAGCGCGCGCCAATGTTCGACCTCTTGCAGCGCGTAATCGATAGGCAGCTTAACTATTTAATTTTAACATACCCATTCCTGTCCATAGGAGTCGGTCAAGTCGTTGATGGCCTTCGAGTCCCACTGTTTCCTGATACCGAACAGTTTCGTTGGCAGGAATCCGTTCTCAGCCATAATCACGAAGTACACGAAGAAACCGGCGGCGGCTTGGATCATACCGATTTGGCCATACGCCATCGATATCAGCCTGTCAACACCCGTACAACGTGTTATACTGTGCATTTGTATAATATGAAAGTTTTCTACTGATGATTGCAATTAATTTTCAATTTATATTTACTTTTACTGATCATTTAAATTTTCTAGATGCGAATAATATGCAGAAATATTCCTGTATCTTATACAAATTATTATTCTTTTTTAAAGATGTACAAATAAAAAAAACGAAAGTTTCCCTTTTTTTTTTAGTCAAAAACTACTTTTCAATTTTAGTATAGGCCAGGACATAGACTAGGCATGGTTTCTTAACAAGAGCCAGAAATGTAATCAATTAAAAATCATTAAAAATATTTTCTTAATTTAAATTTAGAAAAAAGTGTAAGGTGTCGCACGAATATTTCATGTATGTAAAATTACAGTATGTATATGGAATATAAGAAAACAGTTTGTAATTACTGAAAAATAAAAACCAATGTAAGTTAATATAAATTTATCGGCTCGGCGCACTGGCTTAACGTTTAGTGGGGGCGCTGCTAGGCCGCGGGTCAAGATCCCGCACAGAAAAAGTGTTTGTATGGCCTACAAACAATAATTTCCCGGGTCTGGATGTTTGTGCATGTACAATTCATGTATGCAAAATGCCTCCACGATTAAGTAACAAAACTATTACATGTGTAAACTATCTATAACTAGTGTTATAAGTATTACGTTTTGTTTGGAAGAAAAAAATAACATTTTTTAATTTGCCAGTACTATTTCATATAAAAATTTAATAGAAATGATGTATGAGAGAGAGAATTCTCTTCTGCTTTATTAGTCCACAACAAACCACTACTGGCCTTTCCCATTGAAGAAAGAATAATATATAGTTATATGTATTTGCATGATAGTTTAAACACTAAACATCTGATAAACATAAAGCACATACCTATTTAGTTGTTAAGAAACCTTGCTTCATTATGAAATGTAACATTTAAATAACACAATATAACTTTACCTCTGACAGGAGCGAGTAAATGAGAGTTCTAGTAAAATTAATTTTTTTATTATTAGTAGTCTAAACCTAAAAACAACGTTGGTGTCGAGAGCTCTGTTTTGATTTATTTGGCTTTATAAAACAATCTATACTTACTAAATTTAACCTAAAAATCACGTAAACAAATTAAAAACCTGTATTTTTTAATGAATTACATAAAACACCATCGTTATTTAAATATAATATAAAAATGTACATTATACTTGCAATTTAACACCGCATGCAAGGGATTAAGCGCAAGCGAAAGCGGTAGAGATCGGTGAAAAGCTAAGACGCGAAATAAAACCGATAGAAGCAAAAAGAACCGTATATTTTGCGTGTGGGCGTTAGAAGCTCCAATGACATTAGAAAAGCGTGTGAAGAAAAATTTAAATATCTATATTTTAATAAATAATATATATTTCAAGTTTATTTACATAATTTATTAATATAAAATACATAAATAATAAAACAACACGCTTCATATCACCTAGGTCATTCCTTAAAAAATCACTAATAACTAATTTTTCTACTTCTCTATTCAATAATCAGTCACTAAGTACATCTTAAGGACGTTTACTAACAAATCGCTAATATGTTTACTAACGTGCATTTATTTCGTTATTACATTTCGTATTTCATCATCTAAATTTGAAATATGGAAGAGTGAAGATTGTGAAGAAGTAGACAGAAAGGCTAACTTCGCTAAATCTAGGGTAGAGGTCTATAAAAGATAAGTTTGAGTTGCGTGAGATATTTAAATAAACATTAGAAGTAACTATTTGGACTTGTGGGTTGACAACGGTGGTTGTTAGCAGTGTTCAAGGAATGTTCCTGTGTTACTTATTAATTACGGAACTAATTGCTTAGTGCTCGACGCAGGATTAGTACTTCATAATCACTCTTCCACATCTTTATTCCAACGGTAGATCGCAAGTAACCCCACCGTTCAAAATGCATTTTAATAATTTTTTTTTATTCTCAAATTTTGATGAGGGCAACATTTCATTATCTGACCGCAAATATTGATTTTTGTAGGATAATTTTAAACTTTAGTAATTTAATTATTATCAACAAATTTTTTCTATGCTTTGTTTTATAACAATAAAACTTAAATACATATACCGCTTTTCGTGACAATAGAACAAATTAAGTCAGTAACTGACTATACTAACTTTTAAAACCTTTTCGAAATTTATTAAAGAGATCACTTAGAATGTTTTTATTTGGATCATTACGTTTAAACTTCACAATGGCCAGTTAATGAAGTAGACCCAGTACAATCCGTTCGAAACATCTATGAAGATATTATAAATGTTATTAAAATTTAATTTAATTAATACCAGCAAAAATTAATATATCAAAGATTTTTCCGAGCGGATCGTTCGAAATTCGAATGTGGGCTATTGATTGCGTTAACACCCATATGATTATCTAATAAGCTTCGGCCGCGTGTATGCGCGGCTACGTGACAGTGCGGGCCAACCTTCTGTTGACGAGATTGTCGCGGTAAGGGTCCCGAGGCTGCCGCTTCATGATATCGGACTCGGGTGCTTCGTACGCCAAAGATATAGCAGGGACCTTCGGTAACACCAAGCAATCAGCACAAACCACAAAACGGATCACAAACCACGCCATTGCGCGGCACTTTTTTGTAAATTAAATTATAGACGAATACCCACCCCTCGGCTACGACGCTCCAATATCACATACTCTACAACTAACGACTTCAGTTATAAATATAAGTACCAAATTAACATATAGCGACACTATCACTCTTAAATAATAACTCAGTGATATATAAAATACAGAAAATAGAAAAATATTTAGCGTGTTATATTCGAAGAAACATTTTAGGTTATGTTATAAAATGAACATTATATAGGTTCAAATACTAAGCTAGCGGTATAATTACAAGTAAGACCTAATGATACTTAACATATTAAACAATTAATATAAATGTTTCTGTACCTACGTATATATAAAATATAGGCCTGTTCGAATAACAAACATGGGGTGAAATGAGAACCCGGAGCGCATACGATATGAAAAAACGTACTCGTATAGTAGCGATATTTGTGTGAAATATATCGTGTAATATGATGTGCGTGATAATTATGAGAGGTATAAATTAAGTATAAAAAAATTATTAATAAAGAAATATAGTTACTAAAGGATGTTAAGATGTGTCCGAAAAGACATGCACAATAGACACATCGCAGACATAGATAGACAGATAGACATCGATCACTTACCTTGTAAACGATCACATACACACGCACACACTTACACACCCACACAAACAAACACCTAACAAGTAAATGAATAAGATATAAAAACGTATATCAAAATGAAACAATGTGTTTGGAAGCGGGTCGGTCGCGAACCAACAGAAAACACATTATTTCATAGCCACCACAAGCTACATTAGAGGAAACAGGAAATGTGTTAGTACAGAATAATATACAAGACAACGCAAGGCAGAAGTCAGAATCGGTGCGATTGTCGCCTTTAGTATCCACACAGGGAACACACAGAGTCGTGTACCTACATGGCACCGCCCGCAGACGACACGCAACAACCAAACCTCAATTGAAGACTAACTTACACGTGGTACATAGCAAGCAAGTAGCAGATAGAAATAATATCTTTGAACGAGTGTCGTGCCACTCGTGATGTTTTACCTCTCGTTAACGAGTTTATCTGTGAAAGGATTACGCGGCTGTCGCTTCATAATGTCAGATTCGGCCTCCTCGTAAGCCAGGGAAATGGCGGGCACCTACACAAACACTAGCTATGAGAGCGAACGGCGAGCAGCGACACGTTCGCACTTGCGAACGTTCGTGCTCGTATTGTAAAGCGCAGTGCATCATTATCACATGTGTACAACATCGAACATTCAGCAAGACAGTTGCAAGCAGACACCGTTGACAAACACCAATAGATACTGTTTACAGCCGCATAAATACAATATATTTATAACAGTGTATGCTTACAATGACTTGAATCACTTAATAATTATTATCACAGAAATAAAACGGACACATAAAAAATGTAAATTATGAAATGATTGTTCTGTTGCAAGTACTGAAATCGTTGAGAACTCAAAATATCGAATGATTTGCAAACGAAAGTGTGAACTTTTAATTATGGGACACACGAAAAATTTTGAAAAAATAAAATGTGTTTGAATGATGATGGAGATGATATGAATGTGACTGTAACTATGGTGTGTTGTATTTATTTTTATGTTGAAAGAAAATGTTGTATTAATACCCTTTAATTAACTGAACGTCCAACGCGGTGCGTTAAGGACCGCAAAAGTCAGGAATTGGTGTCCTTAACCTTCCTCAATCTAAGAAAGCGTAACACTTGGTTTTGTACACAGAATCGCCTATAACACCGAGCATGATAATTGCGCTCAATGCTCATATTAACAGAAAAGAGCCTCACATCAAACCATTTAGCACTTGCAGCATATGAATTAGTAGTGTTAAATTTGTAAAGCTCAAACTTTTTTTAGTCGTACGCACCTTTTCACATTGAACATTTTTTATGTTAAATGCTTGAATTGTGCGCAACCATAATGGGTTGAAATCGTTGGTCAATTTTAATAGAAAGTATTTTTTGTAATCGATATTAGACATTATGGTTGCTCACAATAAGTTACAAACTAGAGTAACACCCAGCCGTGACGCTATCGATACAACATCGAAGTTATTATAGCTGAAAAACAGTTATTGGTTATTTTTATTGCCACAGAGTATCATCATAATACGTAGTAGAGACCTCTCATTGACTAGTTTGTCGCAAAATGGGTTCCTAGGTGGGCGTTTCATTATGTCAGCCTCTGCAGACTCGTACGCAAGTGCTATTGCTGGCACCTAATGTCAATTATTTATTAAAATTTTACATCAATTTTACTTTTTCTAGTCACCTATATGATTATAAAAATAAGCTAAAATGAAGAACTTTTGAGTTAAATAAGTTTATTCAAAAATTGCTTCGAGTAATTCGTTAGGTAGAAAAAGTAAAAGATGTTTAAATATTGTCTTATCTTGAGCTAAGATGCTGAAAACTTAACGAAGACATGTTATTATAATTTCACAAATTACTGTATTACTTCAAATGTATTTTTAGAATTCACATCTAATTTATCTGTAGGAAATTTTTATTTTTGAAATTAACAGTCCAATTTACTCAGTGTCAGTATTAACTGCCGTTCATAGACATCTGACAGCCAATTTGGATATCACCCTTCAAACTGAAACACAGCAATGGGTGTATTGCTTTTGCGGCAGAAATATGCGAGACGGTCGTACCAACCTAGGCGGACTACTACACAGGTTACCCTTCCACCTAGAGACGTTATAACATAGTTATCGTTAATATTACCATAACATGCGATTCAATATAGGATCCACCTGGTTTCTGGTTTCACTGATATTATTTTTAGATTAACAGTAAATAATCATTATATTTGAGTGTGAAGTTATTTTTAACACATTTAATTAAATCGTATTGTATCTTTGTTTTATAATTTTTGTCAGTCCATTGAAACCTTAAATTAAACATTACATGTCTAGTAGAAATATGGCAATACAATACCATAAAACAAAATGTACCGTTAGCAGTAGAATTTAAAGTCGCACTTACCATGTCAGTTCCAAGATCGATGCAAAGGATTGTAACGGTGCCGAGAGGTAGGGGAATGTCGCAAAGGATGAAAGCAAGGAAAGGCGAAATCTCGGGAATATTGGAGGTCAGAGTGTAGGCGATGGACTTCTTGAGGTTGTCGAAGATCAGGCGGCCTTCTTCCACGCCAGTTACGATCGAAGCGAAGTTGTCGTCAAGCAAGATCATGTCAGCGGCCTGAAGAATGTTCATTTAAGATTGTAGCCATATATATGTATAATTACTAAATAATTAGTGAACAATATGTAAATTTAGATACATTTTTAGTGTTGCTAAGATTAGTATTTCACTTAAAACTCTAATTAAAAAAAAACATCTCAGTTTAAGTTCAAACTTAGAAATAATTTTAACGATTCAATATAGATTAAAATGCTTATGTTCACTCACTTGCTTGGACACATCAGAACCGGCGATACCCATAGCAACACCAATATCGGCCTTCTTGAGAGCGGGCGAATCGTTAACACCATCACCAGTCACGGCCACGATGGCGCCGAGACGCTGGCATCCTTCCACAATGATCAGTTTCTGTTGAGGGGAGGTACGGGCGAACACAATCTCCGTGTGGAACCTGCGATATAAATAAATTACTTACATAGGGGTATTCAAACACGATTAATATGTCGCTATTACAATGCTTTAAAGTTTTAAGAAAAATGTAATGCATAATATAAGGCATTTCAATGAATAATGTGATTAAATTTTAACTAATAATGAATTTATATTTTAATTTATTGATACGTGAGCCGTAGTCGAAACTAATGACGACCCAAAATAATATCTTGCATTATTTTATAACCAGTTCATTAGGGACCTAAGCCCAGGACTGACGACTCAGACTGCTGATTCAGCTACGTGATACATTATACTTGCAGTGTAATAAAACAATGATAAGAACAATGTTCAAGTTACATGATGTTGTGTATACTCACTTGAGAATCTCGTCAAGTTGATCAGAGTTTATATCCCTGAGTTCAGTTCCGTGGACGACGGCGGCTTTGGCTTCGCGTGGGTTCACTTCGGACACGGGAATATTGAGGCGGGCGGCGATATCTTCAACGGTTTCATTGCCTTCGGAAATGATGCCTACGGACTTAGCGATAGCCTTGGCAGTGATGGGATGGTCACCAGTCACCATGATAACCTATATATATACAAAAAAAAATATTTAATATTTTATTTTAATAGATTTTTTTAATAATTTATAAATACTTCAAGTTTTTAGTAAGAGATGTGCATATGCACACTAGTACAATAAATTTCATTATTGATTCATTGATTATAGCCTATTTAAAGTCTACTACTGAACATGGGATTGCACATGAAGCGCTCACCTTGATACCAGCAGAACGGCACTTAGCCACGGCGTCGGGTACTGCAGCTCGGGGTGGATCGATCATGCTCATGAGGCCAACGAATCGAAGGTTGTCCAAGGGGAAGTTGGGGTCGTCAGTGTTGAACTTGTAGCCGATTGGGTACTTATCGGAGGGCAGTTGCAAGTCGCAGAAGCCGAGCACACGTTCACCAAGACCGCCCAATTCTAGGTACGCGTTGTTAAATGCTTCCTTCATTTCTTCATCCAAAACCTATCGAATGGTAAACATGCGATTATTACGTCCATAGACTAAAGTTTAATTTCCTTTTAAAACAGAATTGTTAAAGTCTTTATTATATCATTAATAGTCCATTAGAAATAAACATTTCCTACCTTTTCCTTGCCGCCAATGAAGATAGTGCTGCAACGTTCTAAAATCCTCTCAGGGGCGCCCTTCATCACTAACAAATGACGGGGATCGCTGGGGTCGTCACTCTCGTGGATGGAAACCTGGTATTTGTTGGTAGAGTTGAAGGGAATTTCGCAGACTTTCTTGTTACGCTTCCTGATCGACATGACGTCACCGAGGGCAAGTTCCATACATTTGAGTAGAGCAGCTTCAGAAGCGTCACCGGCGACCTCCTTCTTAAGAATTGGAACACCATCCTGACCGCCTTTGAATTCAGCGCGGTTGCAAAGAGTGGCGATCTTAGCGAGAGCCTTGAAGCCAGGGCTAGTTCGGTCTGTGGATAGGATTTATAAATTATTATTTTAGAATTAGTCAATTCTATTATGTACGGGTTATAGTAGACCATCAATAAAAATACTTTAAATCTTTAGAAATAGCAACTTTATACCTCATTGACTGTCTCTCATGTTTAATTACATAACATGAACTGTCATTAAACTTTATATATCAAAATTACGTGTCACATTGTTTGTCCGCGATGAACTCCTAAACCACTGAAATGATTTCAATGAAATTTGTGCACACTTGTGCAGTTTGGTCCAACTTGAGAGATAGGATAGTCTTTACCCCAATAAGTGACCCTCAGTATTTTTATTGCAAATTTAATTATTTTTATGGTACACAGGTTCGCCGCTAAGGGTAGTACAACGTCTGCCTGGCCGGTTAGTATTTATAAATAATAGCATATATTAAAAAAAATCTAAACCGAAGGGAAGATCCAATCACTTCTAGGACAAGCATTTAAAACTTAGTTCTTGTGTTTAAGGAATATTAATGTGTCCCCCTGAGTGAATTTCGGTCACGGCGGCCACTCTCAATGGAGACTAGACATTTGCGCAGGACAGAATAAGGGCATCCACGACTTTTTCTGCCACCAGGTCAGCGCCACTAGAAAGTGAGGTATGATATTTGACAGATTTCATAGCGCGGAAATTAATTTGTTTGGAAACTGTAAAGGTTATTGTTTCTTTCTGCACTATTAGCCATATTTTACATTAATAGGATTAAAAATAAATAAACCAAACCATAGATATTCATAAAAGTAGAAAAATATAAAAAAAGTAATAAAATGTGCAAAAAAAATTAAAGAGCAAACCACTGACGCATTGTTTTGTGTTAATTTAATACTCTAGAACCTGATAAACTTTTATTAAAAACCAAATTCTCAATTAAATTACACTGTGTAACAAAAAACTTTACCTCAGTGTCAAGTAGCGACATCTGGTGACCAGAAAATTATTAGCCCTCATTACATACGAGAGTGTATGAGCACAGGTGCACTCTCTATTCCCTCACTCTCATAGTCCGATGGGACGGAAATCCGACACGAATGGAAAGATCGGACGTAGGACAAACGACTTTACGTGCTTTCCGAGGCACAGGGTTGAAACCTCGCTAACTTCCTGGCACCGAAATTCTACCGAGAATTTCTAGACAAAAAAATCAATAACTAATTTTATTGGCGCGACCCAGGATTTGAACCCAGGACCTTATGTTTAGCAGTCGCGTTTACAATGAGCAGACCAGCGAGGTAGTCAACGGGATGTTAGCAGTAATGACAGGATAGTATTCCTCTTATAATAAATTTATCATTCGTACGGATTGGTGGGATCTATGTGAACCACTGTCAACATTCAGTATTTCGAATATAAAAACACCAAAATCAGTTTATTCATATCGAAGGTATTACATTAACAAAAACTTAACTTTTAATAAAAAACAAAAGCCGAATTTAAACACTAAAAAGAATAAAATAATTTCATAATTACATTCTTTAATTTCATTCTGAAGTCAATGCTAAGATATCTTTTATCGATGAATTAAATTTCGAATTCAGAATGATAAATATTTTTTTTAGTTGTTTGAAATCGGGTTTTACTTTTAAAAGTACATCTTTCATCCATTTGGGTAGACTAAGGAATACTCCTTCTTAAGAGTGGAATTTTTTCTCCAATATTTATGTTGGAGTGTGGGGTCACCGAAGTATGACCTTTTTAATAAAAAAGAGTCATCAAAATCGGTTATCCGTTGACGAAGATGTCGCATAAGATGCAGTCGAATAGTTAAGCTCCTTCCTTTTTGACGACTGCTAATGAAAAATATGGAATCGTATCTTTGAAGTCAGTTCAAAGCGTGATTGTATTATTACTTCATGAACACGAAATCAAACTAATTTTGCGGTCGCGTTTAATTTAACTTTTTTAATTCCCGACGTTTCGGGCACTTTACAGCACCCATGGGGTTACCCCTCGTGACCAAAACGTCGGGAATTAAAAAAGTTAAATTAAACGCGATAAAATCCATGAAATTAGTTTTAATTTTATACTAGCGATTCGCTCCGGCTTCGCATGGGTGATTTTATATTTCGACATCAGCGTCACCTACTGGGTCCAAATGTAATTATAAACCATCTAGGGACACAGGAGTTTTAGCAAGACAAAAATTAGTTTTTATATACAGGGTTATTTTGTAATAACCCGCCAAATTAGCAGAGAAGGTTCAGAATAAGTAATATTATAGGCAAATAGTAAAGAAAAATTTATTTAAAAAAATCTCAAACATATAAATGCATTATTTTAACTGATTGTCATTCATAAATATCTTACGGCTACTATTTTACTACGCACGAACATATTCGTAAGAGTCGATCGGTCAGCAAAAACCTTTGAATTGAATCGCACACAAAAGGTGTGTGTACGCGTAGTTGTTGCCCATAAATCACATTCATTTAGGGTATTTTGAAAAACTGCACTAACGGTCATTATTTATGTTTGAACTCAAGTTTAAAATTTGGCTACTTTTTGAAAAATAACTCTGTATAGAAATGTAGTATTCGCATAAATATAAGAAAATTCTTAATGATACTCACCATACTGTACTCCAGACTGATCTTCCGTAGTATCAGCCTCGATGATCTGGTTATCGAACCACATATGGGCGACAGTCATCCTGTTCTGAGTCAGTGTTCCGGTCTTGTCCGAGCAGATGGTAGAAGTGGATCCGAGGGTTTCTACAGCTTCCAAGTTCTTGACAAGGCAGTTCTTCGACGCCATTCTTTTAGCCGTAAGGGTTAAGCACACGGTCACGGTGGCGAGTAGACCTTCAGGTACGTTGGCTACAATAATACCTGCGAATAAAGTGTTATTATGGTATTTTTTTTCTTCAATTATCTCAGGATTAGCGCACATTAACTTTTATAGAATAAGAGCAAACGAGCACACAGTCCACCTGACGGTAAGTGGATGCTGTGGCCCATAGACATCTTCTTCTTTTTTTTTTTTTGAGTAAGAATCAAAATGCAAATGCGTTGTCACCGCTGAGGACTAAGATGGAATGCCTCGTTTCCAGTAAAAAAAAATATATTATATATTATATATTACCTCAAAATTGCCTATGTTACGCTATTTTTAATCAAAGTTTAAATAAACGGCGTTATATAAACCGAAGGATGCAGAGTAAAGTATCAAATAATCAATTAAAAATATATAATTAAAATTTTATTTGTTTTGTATCATGGTGGCGTTCTACATACATAAATTGCACAAAGACAAACATTCAGACCCGGAACAATTACCTGTAGGTCATACAAACATTAGTTCCGTGCAGGATTTGTAACGGCGCGGCGCGGCGGAACTGCAGTCCCGCAACCAAAAATTAATGCTTAATTAAGCACTGCGCTACCAAGCCGTCAAATAATATCGTAGAAAGAGTATTTTATATTTACAGTAACTAAAAATTAAACAATTATTAAAAATAATATCTTTAGAATACGCTTAAAGTTACCGCCATATTGTTTTCTTGTGAGCGGAGATCAAGAATCTAATGAGAAGACTACTGGACGTCACAAATAAACATACATGTCATCACACTTCTGGAGGTAGTCGGATAAAAACGTTAAATTGTGAATTCATACCAATGAGGAAGATGACGGCATCCAGCCAGTGGTAGCCGAGGATGAAGGCGATAAGGAAGAACGTGACTCCTAGGAATACGGCGACGCCAGTGATCAAGTGGATGAAGTGGTGGATTTCCTTTGCAATAGGCGTTTCTCCTGTGTCCAGACCAGAAGCCAGGCCAGCGATACGTCCCATCACCTAAATAAAAAAATTCCATTATTAGTTTTGCTGAGTTAAACCTAAATAAATCAGTTTTTCTATCATCTACATATAAGACGTCACAAATGTAATCCCAGAATGGATTATCATCATATAACGAGGATCCACGCTTAGCAAATAATATAAGTCAAGATAGAAAATAGGAAAGTAATAGGTGGCTAGCCCTTTGCCAAGATAATAACATACCCGATATCACATTAGTCGCTTTTTACGACACGCTAAGTGAATAACGTAGTTGGCACACTTTGACGGTGCTTCCCATCGTCGGTCTATTTTATATCTGGTATATTGTTTGTTTAAACTAAAGAATAGTAATGATGTTCTCCAATTCATAAAACGTATTTAAGCTTAGTTACTCAGAATAACAGCGATATGTGGCAATACTGCTATAGGATTGCGCTGAGTGGGATGCCTTTTCGTTATTGAAACCAAATGTGTACATTGCATTATACGAAGTGACGAATAAATCATTCATTTATTTATTTGATCTGTGAAAGTATATCCAATAAATAGTACTGTACTAACCGTGTTATCTCCGCAACAGATGACAATGCCTTTAGCGGTGCCCTCAACAGCGTTAGTTGAGAAGAAGGCCAAGTTCTTGGTTTCCAGGGGATTCTCATGGGTGAACTCGGGGCCACGGGACTGAGGTTCCGATTCGCCGGTCAAACTCGAGTTGTCTACTTTGAATCCGCGGGACTCGATGATACGGATATCAGCTGGGATTCGGTCACCGAATTTCACCTAAAATACAGGTTTCTGTTTAGAATAAGATACACAGAGAACGACAAAGTTTTTATAAATTTATTATTACAGTAAACTTTTATTGAAAACGATAACTAATTATCTGAAACTAACTTGCTTGAAACATCGTCAAAATTATTAAATGAAGACATCAAGAACAAGCACCAAGATATCAACTTATAAGCACTTGCTGTTTAGCAAGTTGTCGGACCATATTATGTCAGTGGAATACGCTAGAAGTTCTACATATTTCGGCGAAACCAGAGGAGGTTTATTCTAGGTATGCTATGAGGTGAGCGTGCAATATAGGCTTCATAATCTTATATAGGATAGCGGTAATGGCCAATTTCAAGGCCGATAATTGGTACGAACAGCTTGAATGAATTTTTTCTTTCTCATTTTTTTCATCTGTCGCCTCTTTCGACACTCACGGGTTAATATCCACTAGGATTCCCTTAAGCTGCCACTATTCACATACGAATATATAGCTTATTATATATGCTTATTATATATAGCTTATTATAGGCTTGTAGAGAAATAAAACGTTTTTTTTTTAAATTATTAATATAATATTACGAATTATACAATAAATCTTTACTTACTTCAACGATATCCCCGAGCACGAGGTCCTCAGCGCGGAGAGTCAGCTTTTCACCTTCACGGATAACAGTAGCGAATTGGGGTACCATGTTTTTGAATGATTCCATGATCTTAGATGATTTGCTTTCCTGGTAGTAAGAGAAAATACCCGTAACGATAACCACAGCCGCTAGTACAATACCAAGGTACAAGTTGTCATCCGCTGGTTCTTCAACGGTACTCGCCTGTAAAACAGATTCATAGTTGGTTATTGACAAGAATGATAAAGCAACATCAATGTTATTAATTCCTATTTGTTTATAAATTTAGAAATAAATTTATTATGACAAAAGCTTCAAAAACAGTTTATAATCTGTATGCTACTTACCTGAATTCCATATGCGATAAAGCACAGAATAGCACCAATCCACAGTAATAACGCAAAACCGCCGAACAGATTTTTACAAAACTTCACCCACTCGGGTGTCTGTTTTGGGGGAGTGAGTGCGTTTGGACCGTCTCTTTCAAGATTTTCTTTCGCTTTTGCATGACTAAGGCCCTAAAAAAAATATAATAAAAATTAAATGTTGCAATTTATTAGATTCAATTAAACTTTAGATGGATGATTTATAAAAGGTCTGTGAAAATGAACTTACATTTTCAGGATGTGTTTGAAATCTTTGGTAGAGTTCCTCGGGAGTTACTTTATGATAATCGATGTCTAATTCCTGTTTTAGGTCGTCTAAATCTCCTGGTTTCCGCTTTTTCGCAGGGGGTTTCCGGCGTGTCTACGGACATATAAAGTAGTATATTTATTAGCTCCAAATAAGTTCATAAATTGTTTTTAAAACGTATGTAGTTTAACTTATTTTTATATGGTTTTAAAAAGTAAAGATAAAAAAAAATATATATAAAAATGCATTAAATAAAGCATGCAATGAACAACGATGACAGAAGTTGCGCGTTTAATGCTATCTCTACATTTTGAATGAAAATTAGACATAATATTTCACGTGTATTTTTATGAGTTAGTGATATTCAATGTAATCATGGAATTAGTTATTTGATTTTTCTAATATCCTATCCTAGATTATGTGATAGAGAAGCCATTTGTTTTGGACTACAAAAGATTCGATATATGCTTGTAAACTTGGACTTTTTTTATTTGTTCATAAATGCGCTTTTTATAACTTACCTCTCCGACGTGCATCCTGTTGAAGTACTTACGACCGACTGATTCTAATACATTTTTCTTTAAATACATTGTATTTTTACATAATAAAGGTTGTATTGCAAATTTTGGGTTGGTAACTGCCATTTTTTGACATGAAAACATACCCTAAGTCAGTTCTTGCGCATTGGTCCTTCATAAAAGCAATTATATCAAATCAAATAACTAGGAAATCAGTGTAAGTAGAGGTAGCAATATTTAAACTGCTCACGTCTGTCCTCGTGTTTGTATAAACAAAAGATGAAAGTAATTTAAAAACCTTGTACTGTCCATCGGCAGTTCTATTATCGTCCTTAACTGGTACGACGGTGGCGACACGGTATGAGTCGGAACGGCCATGCTGTAAACACAACTAGGGGCTAGACACATTCTACAAGGCGGCCCCTACGGACCATGCAACAGGGTTCCACTATGTGAAGTGAAAATGATAATGGCGAAATCACGAGACTCTAAGCCTACTGTATGTTTATATGTAATAGCCGAAAAAATAATAAATAATACGCTTCTTTAAGGCAATGAGTCTCGCGGTATCGACGAATAAAAGAAATTCAAACATCGAAAGGTTACTGCGTAATAAATCTGGATCCATTAACGACTTAAAAAGCATTTTTAGACAGTAACTATTCGATGTTTTTGTTAAAGATGAGAATGGTTTGAATTGAAGCAAAACATATGTCGAAAGAATCATCAAATTTAAAAAAATAAATGTTGAAGTTTGAACACTATTAATGAAAATGTATTACTCAATTTACGTGCACCAGAAAACACATTGTACGAAGCATTAAACATGTATATTAGATATATCGAACGACATAAAGGCATTGTGAAGCACACGGCAACAGTGGCGTAACCTTGGCAAGTGTGTGCGATGTAGTCCTGCTAGGGATCAGCGGCTCAATGGCGCTCAATTGCTCTGAACTAGTTGCGTATGCGAACCTGAGTGTGGCGGTAAGGACGCGTATCATGCAGTGGGTAATGGATATACACGCTTATCACTGTATTCATTTCGCGGTATAGTCTACAGTATGTCCTATTATAGTATATAGGAAATCCTTTAGCATTGCTTTCAGCTTACAAGACTTTGCAATTTAATAAAATAATTGCAGCAGTAACATCACTTTTACCAGCACAATATACCCAAATCCTCCATACAATTGGAGAGGCCCATGTCCAGCAGGGAACTTTTACAAGCTGATGATGAGGAAGAAGAAGAACAGATTAAAGGCGAACGTTAGATCTTAGAACATATTTTACTTTTAAAAAATTTTGTTAATTCGATAATTTTTGCAGTTGTCATAAAGAATATTTTTGATTGATTGATTGATTTCTGTTGATGCTAGCAGGAAACAGGCGCATATTGGTGCATTAACGATTTCATTGTTCAAATGGCGGCATGAATGTCACTGCGTCTAAATGCGTCCGCGGTGCCGTAAACAAGCCACCAGTCGCCGTCGATAATTGACGAACGTTTTCATAACGGACCTCATTAAACAGCGCCCTGAATTCCCATGAAGGTTACAGCTAACTGGAGCAATGTTACACGGGACGCGAAATTGCCACAAAGAGTAACTACTACATTAATAGTAGGGCCTTGTACCTTACTATTACGTCTCATTTTAGGGTAAATTTTGACACAAATTACCTATTACGGCTAGAGTTAATTATAGAGTAATAGAGTTAACAAAGGAACGAGACATTCATTAAATGGAAGGGGTGCTTCACACGTAGGCAAAGATGAGCTATGGCGCGACGTGCTCGCCCAAGTTACATAAGCGGCTTCAAGCACGCATGCGCCGTACGGCCCAACCCCCCGTTTTCTGCCCTCGACAGAAATAGCTAAACGACAAGGTTGCCACCCCGGACAGCCCTAGCAACCGCATTTTATAATCTCTTCAAAGGTTAAGCCGGAATATTAGATGGAAAATCGAAGCCGGACCTGATGAGAATAAGTTCTCATTATGTGAAGTGAGTATTCAGGGCATATAAAGGGTCAAAACAAAATAGCGAGATTAGCAGTCGCCTTAAATTAGACCGCGAGTTACCCGAGTATAATCCCCGTTAGCACAGCAAGAACAGAGTATGTGCTAAATTAACGCTTATTTTAACAATTTTAAAAGTTGATTTAGTAGATACACAATGGTAAAGGCAAACAGGTTATATCTTTGAACATATAGAAAATTATTTGATGGACATGCGAAGTACATACGCCAATACGCATTGAAGCACCATGAGGGATTCATCGCTCATAAAATCCTCACAGAAATGTACAGTATGAAAATTTTAATACGAAGTTAGATTTCAAGTATTTCTTTCAAGGATCTCGACATGAATCTCTTGTTTGAATTGTTACATGCATATTGAAAGAGATTAGAAAACAACTATTTCATTGTGAAGCGAGTGCACGCAATTATATTATGCATTTAATGGATTAGTAATCATTTGGAGGCTTTAAATTAGATCTAGATTAAATAGTCAATTGTGTCGTTTCATGTTTAATGGTCGAGGTCGCACAGCGAGCTATGGAGAGGGCTATGCTGGCGGTTTCTCTGAGTGATAAACTTAGAAATGAGGATATCCGCAGTAGAACCAGAGTGACCGACATAGTCCAACGGATTAGTGAGCTGAAGTGGCAATGGGCCGTCCATGTAGCTTGAAGAACCGATAACCGATGGGGAAAAAGGTTCTTGAGTTGCGGCCTCGTACCGGCGGATGAAGTGTAGGGCGTCCCCCCACTAGATGGAGTGACGACCTGGTAAGACATGCAGAAAGTCGATGGATGCAAGTGGCTCAGTACCGTGCTTTGTGGCATTCCTTGGGGAAGGCCTATGTTCAGTAGTGGACTTGTGAAGCGCTGTAATCATGACGATGATGATGTTTAGTGGGAATCTAGCATCCAATATTCACATTAAATCATTTATGTTTTTTATTGATAATCCAACTCCGCTCTGTATTTCATTGTAAACTGGCCGTATTTGTGTTCATTACATGTGTAATGCACATTGAATGAAATTCTTTTTTTTTTTACTGATTTTTACCGAGTATTTTGTAACACGCTCTGGCTACACTTTTTATTGAATAAAACTAATTTTGAAGAATTAGTTTTAATTACGACATCAAAGACGTTCGTTGAACACCGGTCCACCAATGATAACTTACGGAAACGAGACGTGGTCCTTCACTGAAATTCAGTCACTCAGTGAGTTATACGGAGAACTATAATTGAGTTTTCTCTGTGAGATGAAATCTATTATTAGGATATCTACAACAGAGTAGCAATCGTAAATGACTTAGACAAACTGCTCAATAAGTTAAAGTGACCGGTCATATAACCTCGAAAAGTTAACAGCTGATGAAGAAGAAAGGTTCTCAAATGACAGCTTTGGAATAAAAGCGCAGTGGGAAGCAAACGCCCACTATCAGTTATTGTGGCCGTGCTTGTTGGTAACTTGTAAGGGAGGCCTATGTTCAGCAGCTGACTGTAACGATGCATTTCATATAATATGTGTAATTACATGATAAAACAATATGAATAACTTTTAAGATTGTTTGCTGGCGTTTTGAAATATATATATGCATTTGTAAGAAGATGGCTTTTTAGAAGCTATTATTATATACATTATTTAAAATTCGCTAAATTCTTCCACACTCAAAACAGTTGACGATAAAACAAATGACATAAATTCGAGAACTTGCATTGATGATTTGAACAGGATGCGAATAGCCTCAGTTGTGTCAACGATCGAGGATTCATTGCCAGGGTCACGATACCGCTTTATACCGAAATTTTGTCGTTACTATCGTAGTGGACTGTGAATGAGATAATTGTTTTTGACCGGCGTACAGACAACGTCACACCTCACTGCGTGAATAACTGGAGAACTGTGCCAAAAGCTAAGCCAATTCTCACGTGTGTTTGTTGTTAACCCGATAAAACATCTTTCCTAATTGACTGCATCTGCATGAATGTCTCGAGCTATGTTCCCAAGCATTTTTTTATAACGGTGCTTTATCTGTATTTTATTATTAGATATTTAAGAGGTATATAAAAAGTTTTCTCATCTGCGTGGGCTTCATAAATACTTAAAAACATATTCTTTATAAACTAGCCCTGAGCAGCCGTCACGGAGTCTAGAGCGCCTTAGATGACCCGAGAGGCTAACTGTGTCTAATCGGTACTCAGAAACAGAATCATTTCGGTTGCCAGACCACCCCAACCTAGTAAGCCATGATTTTGTTTTCTTATTTGTTTCAGCACTCATGAGGACTCCACTCCTCGTATGGAATGGTAATTTCGACCAAAAATATCCTTGAATTTGCCCAGTCCAAGAACATAATATCAGGGTTTTTTTATTCGCAAGAATAGTTCTGTATGTGAAGACAGGACTTTTCTTGCAAATTATTCCTGTCCCGATAGAGTCCGGGGTCAGACAGTCTCCGATCTACGAAACTAGAACTCGGGGAGCACCTGGTGCAAGATCGTAGCCACTAGGTTATGTCTGTGCAAATGATCAGAGTTAGAAATCGCCGACCAACCGAGATGAAATGCCTCGCCGGGATGGCGACAAGCTCGACAAACGTCGACGGTGCCATCCTATAGGATGTAATAAATATATATTATAATTAATTAGGATAATTATTGGTATTAATAAATTGACTCTGAATGGCACTGACAAAACCGTCGGTTCCGTTCAGTTCCTCAAAGATGTCACCGAAACATAGCCAGTGGAGATAGTTGGGTCTACGAAAGGCTCGTGTAGAGCCTTGTAGCACCACCCGTTGAGCCCTTCTCCACTTATTATGGTCCTGGTCGAAAATGTTCTAAACTGTATTATTATAATGTTGATATTAAAAGATTTGATGCTTCCAAACGTTTTTGAAATTTTTATTTCTTTTCTTTCCAGTTATGTAATATAGTCATTCTTTTAGATAGATAAATTGTTCTTGTTAAAATTGAATGCCGCGGCCTACGCGAATCTTTTTTTTTTATTCTAGTATTTCAAACGATTTTTTAGACTAATCTCATTGAGTAATGAATATTGAACTTGGCAGAACTCGGTTACAAGACACACGATGATAACGATTTACTTTAATAATAAATTTATTTCTTAAAGATAATGGCAAAAAATAAACACCTTTAGATGAATTAAGGATGACAATAGACAAACGTCTCAGTGGTAGTCCAGAGGCATGCCGATTCTGATATACGAGCAATACGGGTTTGATCCCCGCCGTCACCAACAAAATTGTAAATTAGAATGTATTGATTTACCACGTGCTCGGGGGTGAAAAAATAATCTAGGGCAAACTTGCTTGTCTTAGGTATAAAATAATTGAAGAGAT